TAGGGGTGTAACGATCCATCGATATGGATCGATACATCGATTAAATGTCTAACGATATGATGTATCGATGCCACATGTAAAATATTGATATCTGTAGTATAAATAGGCACCTTATTTTGACACTGTCCCCATTTTCACCAATGTCCGTCTATGCATTACCGCCAATGCATGCATTCTCGGTCAAACTCTCGAGCGCTTGTGAGAAGTTTTCAGCACGCAGTGATGCGCACACATCCAAAGCGCACATATAGCCTACAGACAGCCGCATCGACAGCACGCTACCTAATTGAGCTCTCTTCCGCTTTTTTGTGCATGGATGAACAAATACAGACCAAATTACATCAACATGTGTACCTTGGCGAATATCCAAGTAAACACAGTCGGTTAGTCTTAATGTAAACCGTTGAGAAAGAAAACGCATGTGTATCATCAGTATATTGGATCTGTGCTTTCGTTCTTAAAGTGAAAGCAGACCAACAGACAACTTCTGTCAAAGACAAAAATCTTTAACTGATTTTGACTGAACAACTTTTATAAGGATTAATCTATATTTAATATATACAGTGAAGACTATGCAGTGTTATTTTACATTTGATTATTACATTTCTGTACCTGAAAATTTCTTTCAGCTCTACCTGAATAACCTGAAAAGCACTGTTTATTTAATTTGTATCTTGGTTATATTGTATTTATTTTCTGCTATTGCTTGTAATTTGGTTATCTGTAGAAAAGGTTATTAGCACTGAGCCCATAGTAGCAGCCAAACAAAGTCAAATAAAGTTTTAACAGCTTTATTTTAGATTTTTTTTAAATGTATTTTTCTACATTAATATATTTTTTCCTACAACTGGGGTACCTCGTTTGTGTTATTTCCTAATGAGGATTTACATTATTTTACACATAGCATATTTTAGCACAAAAACCTGAAAGATTGTCTTGACTGTTGTCATATCTTAAGATTACTGATCTTGTGTGTGATTTTTTTTTCTTTATTATTAAAAAAAAAGAAAAAGTGTAGGCTTATTTTTTTGTTGTTGTGAATGTCCCAGTTGAGGAACAGGATGTGAACATGTAAGATAAAGCAGACTTCTGTCAAAGAAAAAAATCTCTCACTGATTTTGACTTAACAACTTTTATAAGGATTAATCTATATTTAATCTATATAGTGAAGACTGTGCAGTGTTATTTTACATTTGATTTACATTTCTGTACCTGAAAATTTATTTTAGATCTACCTGAAAACCAGCAACTCCGACTGGATTCGTCTGAAAGAAGAAAGTCATATACACCTAGGAGTAATTTATGGGCTAATTTTCATTTTTGGGTGAACTAACCCTTTAAGATTACTGATCTTGTGTGTGGCTTAATTTTTTTTTTTTTTATTATTAAAAAGAAAAAGTGTAGGCCTATTTTTTGCTGTGAATGTCCCAATTGAGGAACAGCATGTGAAAATGTAAGATAAATGTTCATGTTATATGTTTTGGTTGCATTTGTGAGTTAATAAAAATCTAGATGGTTGTTTAAAATAGGTATATAATATAATAATATCATTATATTGAGCCAATATTCTCCTGTATCGAATCGTATCGTAGAATTTTTTGAAGTATCAGCAAATATCGTATCCCTAGGTCAGGGGTCGGCAACCCACAGCTCTTTCATCCCTTTGCGCTGGCTCCCTGTAGCATGGGTGTACAATATGTGGGGGAGGTGTCCCCCCGACTTTTAATAAAACAGGATATGCAAAACCACCTGAATTTTTATTTTTGACAAAGGCATCCTGCTGTCGCTGTAGCTAAGCTGAATAACAAGCATAAACCTGCTGACTGACCTGATTGAGGACGATGGCAAATGGTTTGCAGATCCTCAGCATCACTGACAAACATCTAATCTTGTAAAATGTGTTGTAAGTACTGCCGCTCCATAGTATAAACAGAATACGTGCGATCGCGAATCTCGAAAGTGAAAGTGAAACTAAAAAGCGATCGGGCATTCAAAAGCAGTTTCAATGCCAGGCATAATCGCGGCTACCTGATGCCCGCAATTTATATACAGTATAATTGCCCAATGATATAACTGCGAGAGAAAATACTGAAATACATATTTTCCTCCCATCTTGTATTTATTCCCTTTAGGGGTTCCGTATTACACATCATTTTCTTTCGGAACACGGGACGCGGGGGAGGGGGGTTATGGGGATTGCAATGCCTGCTCATCATCGTGATGTCTGTCAGCCATCGGCGGTGGACGATGGCATCGTCTATCGGCCCAACCCTAGTTGTTCATCTTCGGAACACAAATTAAGATATTTTTGATGAAATACGAGAGCTTTCTGACCCTGCA